AGAACAGACGCGGACAACATAAGGAATGAGCCATCTACAGGATTTCCCAATATCCGGAGCGCCGCAAACGTTGGATCATTGTAATAAAACGCGCTAGTGACCAGGCTGAAATGAAACTGGGATCCCGAGAGTAAAGGATTAAGCTTATGCAGCGACCACTTCATATCAGGTACTTAAACCAACGTTTCCTCAACTGTGTATGGTGTTTATTTTAAATGCTTTTATTACGATTCTTAGTGGGCTTCCTAAACTTATTTTGGCGTGGCTTTTTCTGTCTTATTACTCACAGCAACAAGTAAACATCACGTAAAACGTTGCCTCGTGAGTTCTGCGTGCTGCCGTTTACGTGTTTTATGATCACAGCAATTAACCGGCTAAGCTGTATTTCATTTTTAAGCAATGGTTGATCAATTGTCAGATCACACATGAAAAGCACTTTGGATTGCTATTATCTGTCTCACCGAGACAGATCTCAGACAGATCCTGAGACGCTCCTGCCTGACATATTTATTTTATTCACGGAAAAAAAATCAAACTAGTGATTTCTCTTGGTGTTCAGTTTATACATTCAAACAGCACAGCACTCTATTTAAACTACTTACGTGTAAATCTGTTATTTGTCCATCCATCCATCCATTTTCATCCGCGTATCCGGAGTCGGGTTGCGGAGGCATGTAGCGTCGAGAGTCCCTGACTTCCCTCTCCCCAGCCGCCGGAGCCAGCTCCTCCGGGTAAATCCCAAGGGGTTCCCCGGCCAGGTCCAGTAAGAAGTACGCTCCGACAGCTTCTGGCGTTTTTAAAAAGTATCCCAGGGGCACGGTAAGGGTCGGATATGTTTAGTCTATTTAATTTCTGACTATATAAAATGATTTCTTCGGTTTTAAAGTGTGAAGTAAACTCCGACGAAGTAAAATCCAAGTGGATCCCGTTCACGTTCATGGTTACATCCGTGTTTGTTTACCTTTTTTTCCTGCCATAATGGCGTCTACTAACTCAGAGTCACGTGGGGTCCGGAGCTCTATAGGCTACTAGCAGAGGATTTTAACAAGGCCAACCTAAAGACAGTACCGTATTTTCACAACCATAGGGCGTAACATGTTACGGGCGTCTTTTTGGTCTTTAACACATGCAAAAGGCGCACCGGGTTATAAAACGTACCGGTAAAACATCTGTGCGGGCTCAGGACTCGGATCATATCAGTGCAAACCAGACATTGTGAAAATTATAAACAGCCAAAAGCATGGTTCACTTTACTGGTCTAGTCCTGGTTTAGAGCGCACGTGCAGCGAGCGGCTGCGACCCAAAAAGTACCAGAACCGCTCACGGCGCATGCACAATCATGCATCAACACTGCTCGCCCGCTATTTCCCTAATAACACATGTTATAGTCGTGAAAATACGGTACTTCCGAATTTTTATCCCAACATGACAGAGTTGATACAGTTTTATTTGCCTGTATATTACTTTTCGGGTCGTCACGTGTACAACATTTAAGTGGATTTACCTTGGAGAAAATGGCGAAGTGGCCATTCTGTAGATGCCTCTTCAGATTCGTTGTGTTCTTTCCTCGGAACGACAGTCTACACTCTCAGCATGTAGTTTTGGTAGCAATGTTATCAGAAGAAAAATGACTCCACTCATCTTCTCTTCTTTTTTGCCCAGCAGTTAACATTTTCCTCTACTCCTTCTTATGCCGTCGATATATTCAGTGAGCTATGTTTAGCATACCGCGCATACCTGCCCCTTTATACTATTCGGGGTCTGTCTTCGCTCACGTCCCGCACGTTCACGGCACGCCACGCCCCTTGTCTTCTACTACGTTTGCGTCTCACAACAACACAATAGGCTCACCGCACCATAGAGTGCCATGTAGAAGAGCGTCATCGTGGATTTTCGTCTCGTCTTTAATTCGTTGACTAAAAGTTTCAATCAATTTAATTATCGTCTTTGTCTTTTTCCAAGCTTTTATTTAGAAATTTTGTTTCATTTTCGTCTGTAAATATATTTTCGTGACGAAAAAAAAAGACGAAAATATTTTGTCAACAAAATTAACACTAATTCCATGCTGTCGTTCTTTTTAAAACACAGAAACGGTTTTGTTCCCTTTTTCGTCGCTACGTTTCACCGGCGGCTGCAGGCTTCCTCAGGCTGAGTTATCACTGGTTTTGGTTCTTGTCTTTCTGGGTTTCTGGTTCTTTGCTTAGGTTGTTCTTTGTCACGTCCCTGTTCACAAAAACACCAACCCAAAAAAACCATAGACATAGTAGTTAACAGAATCAGACAGGACACGACTTTACACAAAAGAACAAACCTCACAGCAGACGACATAGCACAACTGATAGGACTGGTAGCTAACTCCACTTACTTCACATACAACAACACAATATACAAACAACTGGAAGGCTTCGCCATGGGTAACCCGTTATCAGCCACCCTGTGCGAGTTTTTCATGGAGGACCTAGAACAAAAAGCCATAGCCACTGCCCCCCAAACTGTAAAATAAAAATATGGAAACGCTACGTAGAAGACATACTGGAAATCATACCAAAAGGACAAACAGAAACACTAACACAACACTTGAATAACATTGACGACACAGGCTGCATAAAGTTCACTTATGAGTTGGAAACAGAAGGCAGCATAGCATTTATGGATATGAAAATCACCAGGCAGACCAACGGGACCTTAAACATAAACACATACAGGAAACCAACACACACAGACCAATATCTATTATGGACATCAGAACACCCCACCATACACAAAATGTCAGTAATCAGAACACTATATCACCGAACAAACATAATAACAGAAGAAAGAGACCGTAAACAAGAGGACAAACACATACAACACGCTTTAAAGACCTGCGGATACCCGACATGGGCAATAAACAAAGGAAAACGGCAAACAAAAACAGAAAGAAAAGAACAACCTAAGCAAAGAATCAGAAACCCAGAAAAACAAGAACCAAAACCAGTGATAACCCTACCATACATCAGAGGCATAACAGAAAAAATAAGAGCAACAATGAAAAAACACAACATAAACACACCAACAAAACCATACACAACAGTTAAGACACAGACTAGTGCACCCAAAAGACAAAATATCAGCTGGACTTAAATGTGGAGTCATTTACGAAATCCCATGCAAACTCTGCAATAAAACATACATAGGAGAAACCGGACACCAACTCAACACACGAACAATAGAACATAGAAAGGAGTACGAGAAGGAGGCAAATCGAAAACACACAAGAGCAGCAAAAGAAGAAGCAGAAAGCACAATAAAGAAGTCAGCCGTAACAGATCACTGCATACGAGAAAATCATATAATGGACTGGGACAACACAAGGATCATAAACATTGAACAACAAAAATACAAAAGATGGATTAAAGAAGTAATCGAGATAAGGAGATGTGGATGTGGGACCATGAACAGGGACGACGGAGTGTACACGTTGGACCGTGCATGGGACTGCATCGTCGGAGAGGGGAGAGCGGGCAGTAGAGGGCGACAACGTCCTCTGCTGCCCGCGGATAAATGGAGAAGGAAGTGACGCGCCACCATCAGCGTCAGCCTGAGGAAGCCTGCAGCCGCCGGCGAAAAGTAGCGACAAAACAGGTAACAAAACCGTTTCTGTGTTTTAAAAAGAACGACAGCATTGAATTAGAACTAATACACAGCAAGAACACACCTAAGATGTTCAAAGAAAATTAACACTGGTGACAAAGGTCACATTTTCCCAGCTGGGTCGACTGTAACTTTGCCCCACAGATTAAACAAGTGAGGAGCCATGATGTCTGCTGAGTATCATCTGCTGCTGTTCCATCCCAGATTGAAGGACACTTAAAGATCACAATAATAATTTTAATAAACTCTTTGACTTTATTACTGTTTATTATAATCATCGTAGATCATCACTTGGTTCAGTAAATGTATTTTAATTACTGAAATGACTTACGCTTTGGGTATAATAATGATTTTTGTGATAATCGGTTATGTGTGTTCAGCAAACCAGAAGGTCAACTCTCACATAACCAGCCTCACACAGAGGGTACCACAGGGTAAAACATCATCACGTCTTTGACTCATGACCAAAGCTTTCTTGCTGAGAGTGGGCGTGTTCTGTGGGTTTGTTAAAACTAACTTTCCAGCAGCAAAACTTCAATTTGTGAACCAACCACCATCCTGAGGATAAAGGAACGGCCGCCCTGAACCTCTACCTGCTGTTCTGTCACACTGATAGAATAGCTTTGAATAAACGCACGATAACCAGCTGAAGCAAAACTCCTTCAGAGTTATTGATTTTTAAGTAAGAGGCAAAACTCCTTCAGAGTTAAGCCAAACGCTCAACACTGTGTACCCTGCGACATCTCTGGACCAGAGGATCGGTTTCACTCGCGTCTTCTCTACCGGACCGAGTACCCTGAGGCTGACAACATCCTCCTTGACCTCCGGATCCACACATAGGGTCGTCTTGCTGGGTGAGGTAGCACACAGATTGTGTTTGATGCTGTTTCTCTAAATGACAACCGAGTTAGCTGCAAAACCATCATTTCACCCAGAACGAGTTCCTTTCTCTGAAAGAAACCCTTTGAGAATTCATTCACGCATTCATTTTAGCTTTCCATCCAGTCACAGGTTTGCCTTTAAACAAAGTTTAATATCAAAACTGGTAAATTGTCATCTATGAATTGTCATTTTTAATTGTCATTTAAATTGTCATTTCTGAATTGTCGTTCCAAATTGTCAAGTTTAAAATTGTTAGTAATAAATTCTTATCTTTAAAAACTTGACTCTCTTCTTGAAATTAAACACGGAATGGTGTATATTTCTGGTTATATAACCCACTTCATACACAAAACGGTAGCCCAATGTTCTTCACATAGTTAAAATAATCACAAGTGAAATGAAATAGTTAAAATGTCACATCATGTTGTGTAAAATAAAATAAAATCATATAGACACAGAATATAGTACACAAAAATAAAAGCATATAAAGTACAATTATTTACTTTAAAATATAGAACAAAGATAAAACAGCACAGCAAAGGTGTACATATAAAATACATATAGAATAAATGTATCACAGTACAGATAAAGACCTAGTAGACCACAGAAGCAAGTATAGGTTAATGGAAGGCATCATGAAATTTTTAGTTTTTAATTTAATAAGTTTTCAGACCTGTGGAGAAAAAAACCCTACAAGATGCAGAAAAAAAGGATAAACCTCCAACCTACATATTGCCAGCAATAAACGCAGCAAAACTTAACTTTCATGACCAAAAAAACACAATAAAAATTATTCAGTAAATCAGGAGAGCAGGAACAACTCTTATTTCTGATTTTACATTTTTTATTTAATTCAAACTATTTAGAATTTTGTGTTTTCATCACATTTAGCTTGTTTTTTATATAAAATATATTCAGCTTTACATGTTAGCTGTTCCTGTGTGCTCAAAAACTTATGTTACCAACCTCTAAAAAAAATTACAAAATCGTTCACATGAAGTAGATTTGTTATTCATTATCTGGAAGTATTTGATTAGTTTAAAAACTAAATATAATTTGTTTAATTTGGTTTTCAGAATGTCACTAGTTTACTTATACAAAAACAATGTATGTACTGAAATACGGAGAAATCAACTTGTGAGTACAATGCATGTTAATATAGTAAGTATAGCATTTTTAACATAAGCGCATTCACACATGGAAAGTATCAATGTAAATAAATCATATGGCAGTAACTCTGCTGTATTTTCATTGTGTAAAAGTAGCTCACGGGCCCAAAAAGTTTGGAGACCCCTGCAATAGATTGCTCAGCCCTAGTGGATGCTTAGATGATTGTTTAAAGTTTTCTTTCGGCTAACTCTTCATCCACAGAGTTCACACGCAAAAGGTTTCTGTCATTTGTGGACTCCCATGTGAATGTTTAGATTTGTCTTTCGGCTAAATCTTTTTGCACAGAGCTCACAGGCGAAAGGCTTCTGTCCTGTGTGTACTCGCATGTGTTTGTTTAAACTTCCCTTTTCACTAAATCGATTCCCACAGAGCTCACAAGCAAAGGGCTTCTCTCCTGTGTGTACTCTCATGTGTGTGTTTAAACTTCCCTTTTCACTAAATCTTTTCCCACAGAGCTCACAAGCAAAGGGCTTCTCTCCTGTGTGGACTCTGATGTGTGTGATTAAATGTGTCTTTCGGCTAAATCTTTTTACACAGAGATCACAGGCAAAAGGCTTCTGTCCGGTGTGTACTCTCATGTGTCTGTTTAAAGTTGACTTTAACCTAAATTTCTTTTCACAGAGCTCACAAGCAAAATGTTTCTGTCCTGTGTGGACACTCATGTGTTTGTTTAAACTTCCCTTTTTACTAAATCTATTCCCACAGAGCTCACAAGCAAAGGGCTTCTGTCCTGTGTGGACACTCATGTGGTTGTTTAAACTTCCCTTTTCACTAAATCTATTCCCACAGAGCTCACAAGCAAAGGGCCTCTCTCCTGTGTGGACTCTCATGTGTGTTTTTAAATGTGACCTTATGCTAAATGTATTCCCACAGAGCTCACAAGTAAAGGGCTTCTCTCCTGTGTGGACTCTCATGTGTGTGTTTAAATGTGTCTTTCGGCTAAATCTTTTTACACAGAGCTCACAGGCGAAAGGCTTCTCTCCTGTGTGTACTCTCATGTGTGTGTTTAAAGTTGAATGTAAGCTAAATTTCTTCCCACAGAGCTCACAAACAAAATGCTTCTGTCCTGTATGGACACTCATGTGTTTGTTTAAATTTCCCTTAACACTAAATCTATTCCCACAGAGCTCACAAGCAAAGGGCTTCTCTCCTGTGTGGACTCTCATGTGTGTGTTTAAAGTTGTCTTTAGGCTATATCTTTTTCCACAGAGCTCACAAGCAAAAGGCTTTTGTCCTGTGTGGACTCTCATGTGTCTGTTTAAATGTGTCTTTTGGCTATATCTTTTTCCACAGAGCTCACAGGCAAAAGGCTTCTCTCCTGTGTGGACTCTCATGTGTGTGTTTAAACTTCCCTTTTCACTAAATCTATTCCCACAGAGCTCACAAGCAAAGGGCTTCTCTCCTGTGTGGAGTCTCATGTGTGTGTTTAAACTTCCCTTTTCACTAAATCTATTCCCACAGAGCTCACAAGCAAAGGGCTTCTCTCCTGTGTGGACTCTCATGTGTCTGTTTAAATTTGTCTTTTGGCTAAATCTTTTGCTACAGAACTCACAGGCAAAAGGCTTCTGTCCTGTGTGAACTCTCATGTGCGTGTTTAAAGTTGACTTTAAGCTAAATTTCTTTCCACAGAGCTCACAAGCAAAAGGCTTCTGTCCTGTGTGGACTCTCATGTGACTGATTAAAAGTGTCCTATGACTAAAGGATTTGTTGACAGTCCTAAAATCGGACTCAGAACACCTGTTCTCATTCCAGTCATTGTCTCGGTCTCCAGTTTCAGACCCAGAGTCTGACAGCTCAGAGTCTAGAGTTGATGATGATGATGATGATGATGATGATGATGATGATGATTCATCATCATCATCTCCAACGTCAGTTTCTGAAGAATCAGGAGTCAGTTCATGAGGGTTCAGATCTGGGTTCCGGCTAGTTTCTAGTCCACCAGTTTCTGCTGTCGTCTGGTCAGCTGAGCTGCTGGTTGAAACATCTCTCTCTTCTATTTGCTTCTGATGAAGCTGTGAGAACAGAGGATTCTCTTCATCATCCTCACTCTTTATAGAAGCAACAGTGAATGGAAACCTGGCAGCATCAGTCTCCTCCTTCAAATGGAGATGCACCCCTTCCATACTGGGCCAGAGTTTCTCCTGTTCCTCCTTTATGTGGAGAAAATCTAAGTCCTGCTGGTTGACACCAGTGCTATGTTCTTCTAGATCTTCTTCTTTAACCAGCACCACCTGTTGAAAAGCTGTAGGAAACACAGAAACGCATGAAGTGAAGTACCGACAGCTGTAACTGTGTTTTCAAACATATAACAGGAGCCCTGACGACCAGCCAAGTAAAAGACACATAATAACACCTATTATAAAAAAGACCTTTTTTCCCCTGCACACTGGACCAGGACATGAAAATTCAGTGAGCTGCATACTGACTAGAAAGTTTGCACTTATAGCCTGGTGATATTGTGTGTGTGTGTGTGTGTGTGTGTGTGTGTGTGTGTGTGTGTGTGTGTGTGTGTCTTACCTCCGCTGTGAGGACACATTTTTCACCTCTAACATGGGGACATATTAAAAAATTGTGAGGACATTTGCTAGGTTATCACAGTGAATAAAAACCTAATTTGGTTTTAGAGGTATGGTGTGTGTTAGGTATTTTTATTAAATGTTCATTTTAGTGGGTCTGTGAATCTTTCTTTGTCTGCGTGGGGGGTGATGGGCTCCTGTGAAATTTGTGATGCCTGAGGCCAGATCTCTGGAATGTGGTAACCGTGGTAACCGTAGGAGATGGGTCTGTGCCTCTGTAACCCGAGAAGGCCTGCCTTCTCCATCCTGATGCTTGAATAAAAGGCTGTGTGTAGCTAAGGAACAGGGGGGAGAGGCGATGATGGAGCTCGGAGGAGTTGTTTTGTTGTTCTCTCTCCCCGCTTCCCAGCAGCGCAGCGTGCAATGAAATCCTTTTTTGTGTGTGTTTATTTCAGGTTCAAGGGTTATGGAGAAAGTAAAAATTACCCAACATTTTGGTGGAGGATGCGAGCATGCAGAGCTGGTGAGCTGAAGGCTTTGTCAGGAGCTGAGTGGGTGAGGCCTCCGGTTGGCTCCATGGACGGGCTTTCTGTGCCCAGCTCTCGCATGTCGATTCAGGGTCATGGAAATTACGAATAATCAATCTACTCTCTCTCTCTCTGTGTGTCGTCCTTTAAGGTAATATGGGATAAATGAAAAATTACCTATCATTTGGTGGCCCGTACGGGGGAAGCTGTCTTCGGGGAGCCATGCAGGCGCCACTTACCTCATCAAAGCCCGCGGAACTAAGATTGTTTCACCGGCGGCTTTTTTAGCCCTGCAAGCAGATTCCCATTTAAGCTCTTGCCTTCCCGAACTCAGGACGAATTTACCTCGCAGAGGAGAGTAAGTACCTCATTATTTGCACCCTTTTTTCTAATAACTGGTCGACAGTGTGGTGTTACGTTGGTAGTGATTTTTGCCATCCACGCACGACAGACGTTTCGGGCCCCGGCTGAGGGCTGGACTGAGAGCTGCCGGACCTTGTCCTGGATCCTCGTTTGCCTCTGAGGGAACAGAGTAAACGCGAGAGAGGTTGTAATGAGTCTGTGTCTGTGTACACAGACACCCCACGACGAATAGAAAAAGTAAATGTGGGTCGTAATAGGGTTGGAATGTGCAAAATCACTTAAGTAAACACACTGCCGCCGGGATTGTTTAATATTTTATGGTGCGTCGAAGGTACACAAAATTAATTACCACTACATTTGGCAAGGAATCCTAAGTCGGTCTAAATTCGGCCTTGCTGTGTGTTATTCGTAATTTGTTGTGCATCTGGTATCGGGCTGCATCCCGTTTCTGATCGGGTTTGTTACTTCTGGTTGTGCAGAACTTTGTGGTTCTGTGATTTGTTACTGAAATATTGGTGTCAGCTGTCGTTTGTGTATATGTGTTGTGTTGTGGTTTTAAAAATTTTGCCGAAGCGCTAAAAAACGCGGCTGGGAACATTGGTTCGGATGACGTCTTGCTGCGTTCGAGTGTGTGTTGGTTCGGCCGCTGTCTTCGAGTGTGTGTGTGTTGATTGCGGTGGGCCAGCTGCAGCCGTGTGCGTGTGAGCCACAAGCTCTGAGTGTGTGAGAAAGTTCAGCTGATGGAAGGAAAAAGCCACATGTGAGATCGTTTGGCTAAAATTTGGAGGTTTTGAGCCTGTTTCTGGTGGTGGCGTGAATCGGGGACTTTGAGAGTGTTACATCGTGTGTGTGTGTCCCAGCCAAAAGCTCTGAGTGTGTGGAAGACAGAAACAAAAAAGTGAGTGAGTACCTAAATTAGCTGCGTCCCATTTCTGTTCTGGTTGTGCAGCTTGTGATTCATCTCATTGTGTCTCTGTGTATGAAAACCTGCAGGTAGTGTTGTCCTGTCCTGTTCTGTTTTGTTTGTGTTATCCTGTTCTGTTCCGAGGGTGTGTGAGAGCTGTTTTGGACTGAGGTTCTGAAGAAAGAACAAACTAAGTGTGATTGTTAGCTACAGTTCTGAAGCTCTGTCTGCCTCTCTCTGTGTGTGTGTGTGTGTGTGTGTGTGTGTGTGTGTGTGTGTGTGTGTGTGTGTGTGTGTGTGTGTGTGTGTGTGTGTGTGTGTGTGTGTGTGTGTGTGTGTGTGTGTGTGTGTGTGTGTGTGTGTGCGTGTGTGTGTGTGTGTGTGAGGAAAAGGGAAGTGTTGATTTATTGCAATGGGGATGGTTAGGTAAGGCTGCAGGCCGCCAACAAATCAGATAAGGAAAGAAATGAGAGGTTAGAAGAAAGAAGGAAAAAGTAGACAGGTGGGGAAGGAAGGATAGACGAAAAAGAGAATTAAAGAAGGCAGAAAGAGAAGAGACGAGAGGAAGAGGACAGAAAGAAAAAGGAACAGATTAGGAGAGAATGGAAGGAAAAAGCAAGTAGGGAAAGAGATGATTAGTTTTGAATTATTTGTTTTTACATTTAATTTGTAAACTCTTAATATTACGGTTGTCTTTTAGTCATGGAGAGCCTTTAAGAATCCAGGATTTTCCAAGCTTTTGGTATTTGGTTTTAATGTTCCTCAAAGGCTTTATTATTCTTTAGATGGATCCATCATTCTTTCTATGTGTTGAGATATAAATTAATTAACTCCTTCAGCTCCACCGGCTGTAAGGATGCACTTGTTTAAACCTAGAGAACAATCAGAGAAGTGGGTCTCAGAGGTGATTCACGCGATTGCCCCTCACATTAAACTACATATTCTGATCTATAGCCCTTTCTATTATTGTATTAAAATAAACAAATACCCTTTCTTTACAGACCATGCAGTAGTCCCCCTAATGCAGAACTGTCTCAGTCCTTTGCACATTTCTCTTTTATGATGGATTTGACCCCGAGTTACAGAATTAGAAGGGAAGATTATGGTAAATTAGGATTTTGTGTTAATGTGAATAGCTTCTGCTTGGTATAATATCGAACTTGGTGTCTTATTGCCCTGACAGACTCTTTTTCCCTTTTAACTAAACAGCCTTTGTACAATTCTGACACAGGGTTCCTGTGGAAACGGATTAGCTGTGAGGCTGATCTGTGACCATAGATGCCTTTTGTTCATGGACTTAATTCAAAAATACAACTTTGACTCAAGATGGTCTCTATTTCACACGTGGTAGGCTGTTCCTTTCTGGAATGCAAACTTTAGCTCAGCTCAGCTCATGAAGGTTCTTTATATAGATAGTCTAAACAACCCCAAACTAAATATTTCGACCTGGTTTATTGTTTCATTGGTTTCTGTTTTCTAAGAATGAGCTGATTTTATGAGACCTATTGTTTAAAATTTCCAGTGGGACCATTTGATAGATGTAAGCTAGTGTCACCATATTCTGTATTATTGTTTCAATTATGCAGTTTTATTTTAGTGGGTTATTTTCTTTGGTGATAGAATTCTGCACAATGCAGTACATGAATGCTTTATACCAACAAGCCATTAATATGCTGAGACAGTTTTCGTATCTCAGGGTTTTATCATATGACTAAATCATGTTAGGCCGATATATGTTAACCTTTTTTTGTGATTGGTGTTTACACGTTTTGTTTTGACCTTAAGTCACTTGATCTTTAAGCTATTAAGGACATCCTGATTTATGGTTTTGTTTTCGTTTCTTGGTTTTCCTGCCATAAGCAGACCTTACCCAGTTTACTGTTTTTACAGGAAGGTGTTCGGATCTTTCATAAACCTTAAAAACTTCCCGTTAAACGAGTCTTGTGGACCATTGATGGATTATGTAAATTACTGGTGTTGTTGGGTTAATTTAATACAACATGGAACATGAAATGGTGATTGGATTAACACAGTGCTAGGTTTTTATTTCTCAGGGCATTTCCTGTCCATCTCAGTATTTTGTCTGTATGCTGGCTCCCCGAACAGGATGTTATCAGGTGGCTTGTGATAGAATTCTTTCACAAAGTCATGTCAAAAAGCCACAGCCCATGCAGATCCTGTTTGAAATGCAAATATCAACTCAGCCCCTGCAGACCATAAATACTAATCAAAGCCCCAAGTGCTTTATTCAACAGTTTGGCTGTTTTGTAACAATGTAATTGTTTTCCTTTAATTTCCCCAGACTGGCTCGTGGAATAAGGAGTGTTTTAATCCTTTAAGTAACATTTGAGCTGATATTCCCTGGGTTATTATTGTCGTTTGAAATGTTTGACTGCACTGCAAACTTTTATAACCTCTTTTTATTTTAAGGTAATGTGTGAAGCTCCACAGGGGGTGAGGGGACTGGCCCACAGCTTTACATTTTTTGAAGAGTCCCTTTGATCACCCCTAGTGTTTTGTAATGCCCTCCTGTGAAGAAGCTGTTATCTGACTCCCGGAGACGGGTTGGTGGTTCTGGGAAGTTGTCTCCAAAGCAAATTACTTCAAGCTTGTCAACCAAAAGGGGTTATTTTTGTTTGTAATGAATTATGGCAAACCTTACTGATTTCATTTATGCTAACCAGACATCAAGTTTAGCACATGGTGTTTAAATGGGGGGAAAATTTTGGAAGCAAATGATCCCCACTCAGTGCAACCTTTGAGTTACAATGCTTTCCTGCCTGAATGCAATTTACATTTAGAAGGCCTTCCGGCCTGAATCCAAATTGTTCCCTAAGCAGCCAAACCACGACTAGACTGGAAGACTCCTTGATCTGTGTCTGTAACGTCCTGCTGTGATGTGTAGGTGTGGTTATCTCAGACTTGGTGGGGG